GAGATGGACAGCCAGGGAGAATAAATTAAAAACAGTTATGAAATACTATATGACAAAACAAGAATACAGTTTAAGTGATTTGTAAAATATCCTTACAGAAAAATCTGTTTACAGTTCTGTTTCAAATGGGTGTTGAGAGATGTATCCATAGATCTCTTAATTTTGCTCTCAAAGTGCACCAGATTGATGCTTTTAACTTCAATATTTAAAAAAAAAAATCTTCCCGGGGGAGCATGCCCCCGAACCCCCCTAGAGTAGGTTAGGTCCACGGTGTTCACATGCTTATTTATACAATATGTGTGCTTATGCTAAGACANCCCCCCTAGAGTAGGTTAGGTCCACGGTGTTCACATGCTTATTTATACAATATGTGTGCTTATGCTAACATCATAAGACAAAAGTTGGTTCCGTGTTGTGTGTAGTGAGAACGCGCTAGAGTGAGGGGGCCCCCAAGCCAAAGCTTGCTTAGGGGCCCCAAAAGTCTCACTCCTTGGGTGACTCGGACTTGGACTCCGACTCGACTCTGACTCTCCCTAGGTGACTCGGACTTGGACTCGAAAAGTGGAGACTCGAGATGTGACTTGGACTCGTGAATTGGTGACTTGACTACAACACTGGCCGTAACGCAACCGGGGAAACGGAGCCCTCAAGCGGTAACGGGTCCCAAGGTAGGTAGGTCTGCGGACGGAACGCTCTAGGGGGCCAAACGGCTCCGTGTGTACGCCCTATACGACATAGCCCCGCCTCTCCCACCTCTCCTGCTCACCCCCGTGTCATTGCTGATGTGTTTCGCCAACAACAACAAAACAGTGTTCCGAGTGTTTCGAGCCAGTTCCCGGTATCTTGCAGGACAGTCCACCCAGCAGGAGCCTCCAGCAGACCCCCCCGCAGGGCCCCGCACGGTTCCCTCGTCCCTTGGAAGAGGCGGAGAGGTGGGTGTTTTTCATCTGCTGGTGGACTACCGGGGAGAACGTCCTGCTCGGGAGCCAGGCTCAGAGTTAGTGGCAGTGGGTGCGGTGCACCTGCCTTTTACAGCAGGAGCAAACGCTTGCCTCAGGGAGGCATTAACTACATGTTGCTCAATCCACCGCGGTGAATAAACAGAAGGGCAACCATGCTCGGGGATCTTATTCGCTGCTTTTGGTGTATTTTGTGGCAGAAGTACAGCGCCACTTACAGGCCCGGCATATGTACTACAGCATCTCCAGCGGGTCGAGTGGTCTTTTACATTACATGTTACTTGTTAGACGCTTTTATCCAAATCGTCCTATGTGCCAGGGCTTAGCCCCGGACAGCCCCAGCCCAATTTAACCCCTGGGTATTTGCGAGGGAGCTCCTATATGGCATTCCCCCGCTGAAGCTCACCAAAGTTTAACATATTTCATAGTTCAAAGTTTTGTCAATTGTTTTGTTTATTGGTCAAATACTGGTTTCTGAGGAGTTTTACTGGAATGAAAGAGCACAGAGTACAGAAGCAACAAAGCAGCATACTGCATTAAACCTGACCTTCACAGAGAGGTTGAAGTTCATGTGGAGAGGAGGCTTCAGTAGTCTGTCTGCACTCTGTTTAGTTTTGCTATCTTACAATCAATATAGTAAATGTGAGGTAAAGTGTGTTGCCAATGTAACCGGTTAGAACTCAAAGTTGTGATGAGGTCTTAAAATGTATGGAAAGGGTCTTAAAAAAGGTCTTAAAAGGTATTAAATTTGACTTCAGGATTCCTGCATATACCCTGAATATGTTCTAGCAATAAAGTTGTATACCTATTCTTTTGTCAGCGTCAGCATCCTATGCTGCTGACCCGGGATCAGATCCCAACAGAGCGTTGAATGTCTCACTTACAGTGCCTGTCTGTCTGTGTCACAGCTGTCTCAATAAAAACAAGGATGGAAATGTTGGCGCACTGCTCAATGCCAATCAGAAAGAATTAAAGCAGCAAAGAACTAATGTGAGTAACCAAGATTAATAACTAATGCAACTACGTCTACAGTTCAAACATATCTTTGCAGTCTTTCAGATAAAAAAAGCAAATACATTATCATGTCGCTGTAGTCACAAAAGATCAACTGCATTGACCATTGATCACCTGAGGCACATTCCCAATAGTTGTTAACAGCATCCTGTGTATATTCTGAAACACAGATATGGTATAATAACCTCCTGAGACCTGGAAGAGGAAATATATTTTCTTTGAAAATAAGCAATCATTAGTGTTTTTTGTATGTTTCATAATATGTCCCTTGTAGATGAAAAGAAAAGTGTATTTTATTTTTACTATAAATAAATAATTATCTTTCTTTTAAAATGCTTTCTTCTTTGATCAATATTAGAAAGAAAAAAACAATCTCCTGACAGCTCAATCTCTGACACTCCCTGAGTATTTTATTCCTCACTTAGTGCTTTGTTTACTTAAGTATATTTCTATTCAAATATATATATAGCAAAAGCCAAATCACATGTGGATTTAATCATTAGAAAGCTTTTCACATTACACCAGGACTCAAAAAGGCTGCATGCATGGTGTTTGAAACAAAGGTGTCAGTGTCATGTCCCCCTCAGAGAACAAAATGTAGACCAATGTATTCAGGTTTTAATATGTGTAATATATTGGAAGTGATAACTCGAGCGGAGGTAAGCATATTCTAGCTTTGGCCCCCTGATGCTCTGTTTCAACTCATTCTCCAATAGAGAATATGACCTTCAAGTTTGGGAGGAGTGGTAAACAGTTTATTTACCTCAAGAACCTCTCATCAGAAGGCCCACAAAGCCTCAAATCTCCAGACAGGGACATCTCAAATGTGTAGCTCAAATTGGGACAGAGAGTCCGTCTGTTCTGAATCCCAAGCTCACATGCATGCATATAAATTGTAAAGAGATGCATTTTTACAGAATAAGTGTGTGTGTGTGTGTGTGTGTGTGTGTGTGTGTGTGTGTGTGTGTGTGTGTGTGTGTGTGTGTGTGTGTGTGTGTGTGGAGACGCAGTAACACAAAAGTCTAATCTTTCTATTCTCCTTCTCATTCTTGTGACATGGCAGCGGTCTGACAGATCCTCAACACTGCAGCCTATTTATTTAATCCCCCTCTCCTTTCCTCCTCCTGTTCTATCAGAGGGAAACTGAAGGAGAAGCACTTAAGTCTTTTTCCCCTTTTATTCACCCACTGATGCATGCAGATAAAGACAAATATTTGCATTTTTCAGTCACAACCACATTAGCCCTCATACTCTCACTGCCAGATAGCAGTTAACAATGCCATATGTTTACCTCTTTAGAAATGATTTGTACTATACTGCAAAAGCAAGGTGTATGGATTGATACATGCATGCAAAATTACTAAGAAATCAACATTATGCATACAGTGGATTAAGATAGAAAAATCTGTACACATGCAGATACAGTATACCCACAAGAGCTGTACACATGAAAACACAACTTAAATACTTATATTCTGTATATGAACGTACAGAAAATACATACAGTATTTGTACAGATGCATATGTATTCATGCATATACATGGGACATCAAGCACATGTTTTTACCAGAATACTTTGCCGTGAAAGTCACCTACCATTTAGTCTCCAGGTAACAGGTTGTCACATGACATGCTGCTGGGAGCCTTCACACTCTGCTAATAGGAGAGGCAATTTGGCTTCACAAGGGATGGTCATAGAGCCAAGAGGAAAATGTTATACATCGATCAAATGTTTTAATATCTTCCTGCCTAACATTTATATACATTTCAGTAATGAAAGAAGGACCCATCTAAGCAGGGACACATACCTCAGTGATTTTACGTTATATCTGTTATCTCAATGCTATTATCTCTCTTTGGGAGCCATGTGTTTGAATTTCTGCTCTTCAAAAATGTAAAGTTGTGATGTCTTTATCTTTATCTGGTTATTTAAAGAAAGAATAGAACAGATAGAACAACATACTGTATATATTATAGTTAGAATGTTTCAAATGGAGTACATAAGCATTACATTGAAAGCAATACATCAAAACTAATTAAGATGATATGTATACATGCCCCGATGCTATATATAGATAATACAGTAATAACCAGTGTATTACTGCATTAACTAACCAACAAATGATACTTGTGATTATTGTGAGTCTGCATTGAGAGGGAGAGTGCGATGGAGAATAGCTTATATCTAGAAAGGGGCTGCGCTATGAAGAGAAGCGACATGGAGATGGAGGCTGATAGAGACAGAGATGAAACGAGACAGTGTGGCAGTTAGAGAGACACCGATAGCAGGAGAGTACCAGACAGTGTTGAATGCGTAGTGGCATTTATGTCTAGTCCAAGATGAGCTTACTTTCTTAAAAGAAGAGACACTACTCTATATCCGGACTGAACTGACTTCTCTTTTACATTTGTATTAAGAATTCTTTCTCTCCTTTTCTCTTCTCTCAGATTTGACCCTCAGAAGGGCTTTTGGTGCCAGCTCCTTGAGGGGGGAAAGACAAAGTGTTTGGGGAAGAGCAAAGGGAGAAAGTACCCCCCTATGGAGCCAGAGGTAAATGTTTACATTTTCATTTGAAAAGTGCACAGTGTGGCAAATGAGTATATGCATTGAATGAAAAGTAAGAAAAAGAGTCTAATAAAACAGAAAAAGCAGCAGCCTGACTGACAGTGATACACAGTCCCCTTCATTGCTGTGGCAACATTTCCCACCGGGCTCGGCGTTGGGGTGGAAACTGTCAGACAATCAGATCCAGGCAGAAAGTTACAACCTAATTATGAGGACTCAATAGTGACACAACACCCGTGAGATGGGGGGGGAGCGAGGGAAAGGTGGAAGGAGAAAATCCAATCCATAAATCTTTGTGCTGGCCTCTGATTCCACAGAGGAGAGACCAGACCTGGCCGACAATGAATCACACATTTGCTCTCACATGAAGACAAATGCACATAGATGCAATTTGTCTTCCCTCATGTGCTCACACATGGCTAATGGTTGTGCCTTAGTGTCACCTGTAATTAAACTGTATTTGAGTGTCCACCAGGGGGAAATAGGAAAGGACAGATGAGGAGGAAATAAAATAAAAAGAACACCAGGGGAGAGGCAAGATGGAGGAAGTTAACTGATTTACAGAGGAGGGTGGGAGATAATGGATCTCATACATCCTTCATGTATCTTTCTCCCTCTTTCTCTAACCTCTCTTTCCCTAGCCCTACCAGTCGGCACTTAGTGGCCCCAAAGTCCTATTGGAGAGAAACAAACAGATCTAAAGATGGTGGCACCTCATTAATCCCTCTCAATTTCTTGCTTGCCCCCTAATTTAATTTATCCTCTATCTATCCCTCTTTCCAACCCTTTTTTTCCATTCTTACTTTTTTTCCTCCTTGCTAATGACTCTCCCAATTCCTTGTCTATTTCCATATGTCTTACTCTACCTTCTGTCTTCCTCCTCGACCACTAATTGTATCTTGACTTACCACATTTTTTTCTCTCACTCCATCTCCCTTATTCACCATCAGTGTCTGCTCATCTTCTTATGTATTTTGTTCTCACCCTTACTCTACTCTCTTCAGGCACACGCGTATCTCTCCCGGTACTACAGGGAACACAACGTGGAGCTGTCAAAGCTGCTGCACCGCCTCGGACAGCCCCTTCCCTCCTGGCTAAGAGAAGAGTTGCAGAAGGTCAGCAGCCACAACATTTGCGACATTTATCTAATGAAGTTATCATTTTTAAATGGTCTTACGTCAACAAATAAAAAAGCTCTTAAAGCCAAGAAAATGTGGTTTTACATTGGTTTGTGACTAATTAGGCAACAATCAGTGTTACAGTTAAAAATAAAATATACAACTTTTCTTTAAGCATGTTAATCTCAAACACTCATCAGGACTGTGCAAGTGTGTTTTAATCAGATATTTCAGGCTGGTGTGTCGTGTAGGCCAATGAGCAAAACACAGCATCATTATGTTGTATAAGAAGAACTTATTCTTGGCACAACATAAGTAATAAAGTAATTGTATAAGCTACTGCCGTAAATATCCAGTAAAAGGTATTTGCAACTGTTGAAAAAAGGTCTTAATTTACCCAGAATTAGTTGCAAATTTGATTTACTCAAGATAGTCAACAACAAAAGCGATAAGCCATGGATGAACTACAACATCTATAGGAAGTCTGACACTTAGATCTAAGCCTAATCCATCTTTTAGACAGTGCTAGAAACAAAATAATAATAATAATAATACATTGTATTCATCTAGCTTTTTATCAGGTGCTCAAAGACGCTTGAGGATTGAACCCCACCACAGTCATTGATTTGGATTTAATTGGAACGATGAAATATATGTCATTGCCCTTAGTTAAACACACAGCAACAGCAAAAGATGTAGGACATGATGGGATGATTCAAAATACAAAGAAAATACAAATATCACTAACATGTAAGCAAAGCAAGACATCTTTTTGAGTACGGTAATTACTTCATAATCCACTCAGGTTATTCTAAGCATGTGGCTGTGAAGCTTCCTGGTGTAATTGCTGCTGCCGACAGTGGTCTCACCTTGATCTCTGCAGAGCCCTCTTTCTACTGCAGTGCTCAACAATGTTTTCTTTGTCTGCGGATTTGTTTGTGCAACTGTTTGTCACTGTTTATGAATCAGAGGGAGCCACTTGACAAGGCTGCTTAGGTTTTCCGGCCAATTCACAGCAATCAGAGCCTGTTTTCTTTCCCTTTCTCATGGTTGGCATTTGAATCAATAGGCGAAGGAATTGGATTAAATGACTTTTTCTTATCTTTGTCCTTTTTCTCTGTTTTTTATTCTCCACCCCCTCCATCTTTGTACCTCTTTCTGAAGGTTAGATAACCTTGGCATCCAATAACCAGGGTTAAAGGTCAAGAGGTCCAAGACCAGGAAGTGACCAGGAGCACCTGACCTTCAGATGCACTGTCTGTGGCCTTTTAGTGAACCCTGAGGTGATGGCAAGGACAAGATGCCTTGTTTCACCTCGGAGCCAGGACACTGCTGGAAGGAGCCGAAGGCATGAAAGCGCAAACAAACTTTGGCGCTCTGAAACTGAACTCTTGAAAGAATGGATGGAGGAATCAAAGTTTCAGAAGACTCTGACAACTCTAAAGAAAGCGGGACTAAAAGGAAGAGCCACGTTAGGAAGATGAAGAGCAATCTTTGAAGGTCACACGCTGTTCAGAACTTTTGTGAACTCTCGTGCAGACCTGCAGTGACTTTGATGGTTATCACTTTTTATTTTATTTTCACCTTTAATTTATGATGCCAGGACAGCGCGGGTCAGCTGTGCGTGGTTCCCATAGAGATGACTTTGCACTATGTTCCGTTCCACTTATTTTCAAGACAAAAGAAACGCCGCCTTTGTGGTTTTGTTTTAATATTTTTTATAGTGTTGTTTTGTCACAATAAGAGTGTATAAGCAGGGAGGATAAGTGCACAGACTCAGGGTGGGTGACTGGCTGTCACTTTCCATGACAGGTTCTTATTAATTTGTAAAAAGTTGTTTTAAGTGAAGCTAGTTTCTGGTAGATCTGGTAGCCTTGTTCACCCTTAGAGATGTCACTTGAGGCTTTCACTGGAAAGTGTGGACTAGAAATTAGTCATTGAAGCAAGATGCATTGCCCACTCATTCTTTTCCTTTGACAAGCCATGCAGAAGAACGCTGTGTCCATTTAGCAGAGCATGAGCACTGATGACTTCAGCACTGAAGACTGAGGGGACATGAGTTTGTGGGAAGTAAACTGAGCAAAATGAGCCTAATGGATATGACACTTAATTCCAAGACTCTTTAAGTAGCTACTGTAACAGCAGGCAGTCTTTGTTTTGTAAGTGTCTCATTTAAGTTTCAACCTTCTTTTTCTTTCCTTTTCAAAAACCAGTGGCCTACGTTGTTGAGCTTCAATCTGAATGCAAAAAAACCTCTAAATGTCAAACACACAAACCAAAATTAAAGAAATCAATATTACTGAGTGCATAATATGTGTCTTTTGTGACCAAGTACACAACACAGATAACCTATATTGTACAGGGACACACCATCATACTAACATTCATTCACAAATGATGTGGCATAAATGGTTGACAGTATCCTCTTTGTCCTTTTAAGGTAAGTGAAAATGGCATGGATGACAGTTTGCTGTTTGACACATTGTTCCTTTCTTTGGTTTTAACACAGTAACCATTAATGTTTTAAACAATATAAGACATAACACACCTGATTTCTTTTCTCAGACGTACTTGAAATGTGAACCCATACTTCAATGGACAACTAGGTAATCACATATCAGAGGGTGTGGTATGCTGCAGTAAGGGTAAGGGTTGTAAGGAGAGATTGTATTTGTTGAGCAATGTTTTGTTAAAGTGATCATAAAATTAAGAACATTTGCAATAAAGCCTGAATGTGACAGAGAAGATTTTACATTAGCAAAGCGGCAGCTAAAGTTTAGCCATGTAGTCACGAAAGGAAAAAATGTAAGACTGTACTCTGGGAGAAATCAATTGAAACATCCATGGCAGAAGTAAAGGACAACACTCAGCATGTGAATGTCAGATAGTGAACATATGGTCTATATTTGAAAAGATCCAAGGCACTTTCAACACACTTTAAACTCAAAGAACCCTTTTTGCCAGATATGGATGAAATTTGAAGTATACAATAAAGCTTCCCATAAATCACTAATCGTATCTACAGTAGCTGCATCCTTGCAGGAGTCCATTGTGTTCGTAAGGAGATATAACTGACTCTGTTAGAGGGCTGAAATAATCCAGTTATGGCTCATCGACAGCAGGGTTCGACCTTTAGAGTTCAAAGCGGTGAGTAATACCAGGAAGCACAATATTTTACATATTAAGTCTGTGGTCTGCAGATACGGTACAGTTGAAATAAATTGTACTTTATAGGATATCAGCAAACAGTCATAATGTTTTAGGGATATCAAATAGGAAATGTTAAAATAAGTATGTAGATCTGTTGTTCCAAAAGGCTTTTTTAAGATTATAGTTTAAATAATTCAAGTTTAAATACAATGATAAAAGAAGTACATTACTCGTGTTGTACATAGAGATATAAAAAAGTAACCCAAATCCCCAAACTGTAAACATATTTCCAGCCATCTTCAAAAGCATCTGGTTAAAGATGATTTTTCTAGCAGCCAATTTTAATCCGCATGAGATCACTCTTGTTCATGTTTTAGCAGTTTTCTCAGATCTTTCCCAAGTGTTGCCAGATTTTAAGGGATGGAAACAGATATGAGCAGAAATAAATTATCCGTGTATAATGAGACCTTCTGTTCTGCACCTCTGGTGACATCTAATATAAGCTCATTAGTGCAGAGAGCTAGAGGTTCAGTGGGAATAGCAAAAAGAAAAACACAAAAAGGGCAATGCTCCCTGGATCCTCTGTTCATCAGGTTTTTTGATTGTATATTAACAATATGTTTATTCAGTACCTTGAACATTTTTAATATAAAACCAGCACAAGAAAGCAAAAATCATTAAATTGAATAATTGTCATAATAACCACTATGAAATGCAGTAGAATCTTCAATTCAACTACACATTATGTATTTAGTTAACGTGTATATATTATGTTAATTGTTTATCAATGGTTTTTGGTAAATGATTTATTTTACGTTATATGACATTTACACTTTTTTTTTGGTGTACGGGGATTAACAAAACGTTTTGATGTTAGATTTTCCATAATAATAATAACCTTAGAAAATGAGTTCCAATGTGTTGTAATGTGTGATAGTGACCACAGGAGGGTGCTCTTACAAATTAAGGACCGCTGTGCTTTGGCTGAGAGAAGTTCTGTCAGTTTAGGCAAAACATTTAGCAGGTGTGAAACAAGATCAGAAAAATGTATATTTATCCCCTGCACCTTACCCCTGCAGCACCTTGTGCCTTCTGAGCTTATTCGTTAAATTAAGTAGCTTCCTCATTCCTAATATGTTTGCAAAATACCGTGGAATAGTTTATCAGTGTGAAACCATCACATCTGGTTGACTCATTATATATTAATTATATATTAATATATAAGGAGGAAAAAGGGAATGGTACACTGATATAAAGTCCTTAATGCATTTTGAGCAACTTGATAAGCGAAGTTCCATTAACGTGATATTCAAAATCTAAAGCTTGTCTAAAAGTAGAGCCAAAAAATCGGATCAACCCCAAATATGAGAGTAATGACAACAACATTATTTGTATGATGCCTTTCAAAATCGTTTGAATCATTGTGGGCTCAAGTTATGTATTTTGGTTTCGAAAATGCTATAGATGATACATTAAGTGTCAATATCCAGGGGACAATGTTCTATGTGGGGATAGAATTATTGTATATTGCTGTAGAAGTAAATTCAATTGCAATTGCGAAGGCCATTCATACAGAATTATGAACCAGTTTCATGTAATGGGTCAACCACACGGCGGTGCTGTTCTGTAACATACTGTACTGATATAAATGTTGTGGCAAGAGGAAGTATTTAGCTTTTTAAAGACAAAACACTTTCACTAAATGCATGGGAAATGTACTGTAGTGTTTTGTTAGAAGAAACAATGCCATTACATAACTGGTCAAACGTTACATTAATGGTGCAAAACAGATTGTTTAAGCACATGAGGAACAATAACAAATTCTGGGAAGATGATAAATGTGATTTTTTTCATGCCAACATCTCATGCAGCCTCCCACTGTAGCAGTTAGTCCCAGTTCTTAAGTTGTGTTGAGTCAACATTACATGTTTGCCTTGTAAATAAGGACAACTGAGAAAATGGCTGCCATTTACATAGTGTACACAGTGTGACAAACCAGCCACACTGTGTCTGAGTGTGTGTGCATACACATTCTCTGACACAGCGGTGCTCACTTTGACAGTTTGCAGTCAGAAACAAACCTGAAAGGGCTCTTTCAGATGTGGGAGGATCACAGAATGTGTGATATCAAGTGCGAAAACTCCCTACAAATATTTAGAGTCACAAAAGGTTTTTTACCCAAGTGTGTCATTGTGAAAGTTTGTGTATAGTTGTGTTGGTAAATAAAAAATAGATAAGACTTAAGAACTTAAACCTTTGATAAAGGCGTTATCCTTGATGTTCTTGATCCATTTTAGTAAGATAGTGTTACTGAAAGGTTTGACTTGAGAAAGATAATACATTCTTGCATTCACATCTGATTATAATTTAAATTGCAAGTTCATGTATTTAATTTTAAATCTATACATGTATTTAAAGTTAATCTTAATATCAATCAACCCTTTATTAATAATGGTTACTATAAAGTGTTACCTGCTAATTATACATTACAGTTCCATCAGCAATGTGCCTTAATGTTTCATCGGTGTGTCAACATCAAACATTTTTTACAAAATCGTATTTATAAAGAAATGTTACAGTACAAAACAACATAACACATAGTCAGTTTACACCTAAAAAGATGGTAGTGTAGTTGTTTCAAGTGTACCAGATTGTCTCTTTTTAACAACAACAACAACAACAACAACAACACTTTACTATCCCGCCAAAACAAAAGCTCATGAATTAGAAGAGGATATGACAAATCAACACTTGCTATAATGTGCTTGGATGCAGAAACACTTTAGTCCCTTTCTTCCTCTGCAGATGTTAAGCGGCACTGAGACACGGAGAAATACTGACTGCATGCAAATGATAAATGCCTGAGAAATAACTAAGACCTGAAATATGCTTTTTACACAGCAAAACAATGAGCACAGAGAAAAAAAAACAATAATAAAATTAGGTCGAATTACATAATTTTCCGTTTGGCAAATGTCAATATGACTAGAATGCTAAACACAAAAGCATAAGATAATATGCGATAAATACCTAAGGGGGTTCTTTGTGAAAGTGTTCAAGTCCATACAATGCGTGGCTAATTCTCTACATGTTAACAGTATGTTGTTGTTGTTTTTTTAACTGTGGTCCCTTTTCAACATTTTTAATCACATATTGCATATCATAAGTTACACAATAATTTCATTGTAAAAGCAAGCACAGAAGTTTAGCATGCAATGTCACATGAAACAAGATATTTAAGTTACATAGATGCATTGTCTTGGGTTGAGATTTGAAGAAAATTCAAAATCTTGCATCTCAAGATGATATTAAATCAGTTACATAAGTGCTTATAACCCTCCTCTCTCCCAAAAATATTAAAAAAGTTTCTAAGTGGAAAAGGTCCAGCGTTGCCTTGTGCTTTTAATTTGAAAGTTATTCAGTTATTCATGACTGAACTATATTGTTGTATCAGTTGTCACCTGACAAAGAAAGTCTTAAGTGTGATTCTGCTCAATATATAATTGTCCTTCTATCGTCCTCTCTCTTTTTGGTCATCACGTGTAATCACCTTTCGTATCCAGGGGCTGAAGGCAGACACTTTGGTGTAGACGCCAGGGGACTGTTGTGTCCGGCAAGCATGACCCCAGGATGTGACCCCGTAAACCACCCAACCCCCTCCTGGACGCTCACACACCAACGGACCTCCACTGTCACCACGGCAACTGTCCACGCGCCTCTCCGACTGGATGCTGCCGGCGCAGAGCATGCGGCTTGTGAAGGCGCTGTGGAAATGATGCTGGCAGTGACGACGGGGCAGTAGGGATATGGGGGCCTGCTGAAGGGTCTTGGAGTATGAGCGACCTGAGGCAAAGCATTACAGTTTAGAATTAAAGTGTATGTGAGCATAATGTTAGTGTTTAAACCATGATAGTGGCATGGGATGGTTATGTTGGTCAGTCTTCTCATCTATTTGGTCTTGTAGCATGACCAGTATGTTGGCATTTTGGGTTTTGAGAGAAAGTCTGGAAACTATTACAGGGTTTGCCATCCAATTTTGGTACCCACAATCATGTTCATTAATTGAGCAAATGTTGATTCTCCTGAATGTTTACCCAGTGACCTTCCCATCATAATGTATATTAACACTTTTGTTATGAATAAATCCCTGCAATTAAATTCAAATCAACCTCAGATGTACTTTGTGTGTAGCACTAATTACACACTAAACTAACATAGTAACCACCATACCTGCTGAAAATTAACACGCTAGAATAACAACATCATCAGTGTGAGACTCTACTACTAGACTACTATAAGACTCCTAGTTTCTGATTGATTTGACATGTGTGGACATGAAGTCCATGGGCATAGCTTTTTTGTGTTGCTTTGCCCCGCAATTGGGCAGCAGACTCCGGTTGATTTGACCTTCTTATCAAAGGCACCGAGCTCTAATTTAGAGATTAATCAATTTCAAGGTTTCTGGCAGAGTATTAGGAGAGACTGTTTTCTTTCATCTCATGAAGGATCCCAATTAAAATGAATAAGAAATGTAATTCCCCTGGCATGCTGACTGTGTCCGTTTTATGTTGGCCTGTTGCAGGTTTTAACCCACAATATGCTACCTTTGATTAATATGCAGTCTCCGGTCATATTGTTGAACTTCCAGCATGGAATTTATCCCTTTGGCCAAATGTGTTTTTTGAGAGGTTGAACCTATCCAACAATATTTTCTTCTTCTAATATTCTGACATCTTCTCCTGTACCTCTTTTATCCTTCCAGATATTTCCAGTACCTCAAACAACCAGTAACAACAAGGACCGGACCCTGCCATGGCTTTCTACACGTGAACGCCGGAATGCACAAACAAACTGAAAGGGGACTACTGATGCAAAGGTAACGAAGTGCAGTGTTGGGTTTTTCTGCTGCTTCTCTCTGTGACCACACAGTGTTAATAACTATCCATGGTGGCTTAGGATGCTAGGTATGTGTGTGAGTGATATATGAGTGGCGTATAGCCAAATGCAAACAGCTGAACAAAGAAGACATTGTGCTTTAAGTTAAACAAGCATTGCCAGCATCACACTATACATAACTGATGTTGTCATCACACTTCAGTAATAAAAACACAATCTCCCTTGTGAATTAAATTGTCAAAGAAGACACACCATCTCAAAAGGGAATACATGTTTATGCATAAGTGTTTAAGACCTTCTGTTGCCCTTTGTGACTAAGTTGCAATGATTAATGACATTGGCATGTCATTTAAAGATCACTAACAGATGTGTGGCGGTGCATACATAAAGTGTTTTGAAAGATACAGAGCGTGAATTCAAACAAGTGCAATTACTACTGAAGGATTATCTTCTCCTTTAAATGCATTTGCAGCTGACTTTCAAAATGACTTGCATATGTTAGAAATACCGTGGTTACAGCACTGGATGTTTTACCTGTCTGTTCAAGTCAAACTCTACCACATATAGTTGTGGTGTGATATGATGTTCTATGATCCCTGATCTCCTTTCAAAATATGTTCTAGATTCCAATTTACCTGATCAATATTTTTTAAATAAACGGGATTCTAGTGAGGCATATACCAGATTACTTGCATATACCAGATTACTTGCATATACCAGATTACTTGCATATACCAGATTATTTGCGATGATGATTGTAAAAAAAGTAAAAAACTGCAGCCTTTACTCTGTTTGCATTCATTTCAAGAGCTTGGCTCAAGCAAGAGGAATACACAAACATAAAAATATAGTCCTGAAATGAACATTTTAGAGATAAAAAAAAAAGGGAAATGGGTTAAATCTGGTTGGATCTATCTTTTAAAGTCCCATCTTTTCTCACTTCCCGTATCTTTACATATTTAAAAGCTTAAAACTCCTACACCTTCCCATTAACAGTTCCTCCAACATTTTAAATTCGAGAATAAAATAATGATTTGCACCCCAGGGCCATCACACCCACATCCTCTCCACACACACACACACACACACACACACACACACACACACACACACACACACACACACACACACACACACACACACACACACACACAAACACACAC